ATCGGCCCACCATGAGCAGGGTGTGCCGATCCCAAAACGACAGCGTTTTATACTCCGTATTAATTAAAACAGAGCTGACAAAAAATCACCGTCTTCTCCAACCGTCCAGCGTATGCTTCATCCCTGCGGCCAAAAATTTCCTTTGGTGGTACGAAGCTTCCTTGCCGGACATCCCTACTGAATCGAATTTCTTATACTCAGTGCATATGTATTACAGAAACGGATGTTAGCAGACAAAGAAGATACACAAAGCTTAAAATCTCAGATCCATTCATATATACCCCCATCTTCCTTATTTAAATGCATTTTGTTTGGGATTCACACTCTATTCAGACGTTTCTCTTCCCATATACATACTATTGGATTCTCATACAATTGTTCTTCTCACAATTACATTTGATAATACGAAGTACATGAAATTATATCTTTTTGTGTGTGAGTTACATCTTTATGTGTATGAGTTACATCTTTTTTACAAGCGAGTTACATCTTTTGAAGCGCGAGTTACATATGGACTTGCCCCAACAAGTTACATTCTGTATACACCTAAGTTACATTTGCCATCAACATGAGTTACATTTATAATAACGTGAGTTATATCAAAAAATCAACCTCTGGTATTAAAGCAAAAAATAGGATGATTTTTTTTAAATTCTTTTGATGGTCATGATATTAAAAACAAAACATATTCACGATTTACGTAAAGTAATTGTGCAATTAGACTCTTTTTTTTAAATTATTTACATTTAAATCAATGTTTTATTTCTTATAATATGTATTTGACAAGTTACATTTCGAATGGACTTGAGTTACATTAATCAATAACGTGAGTTACATATCTTTACACGCGAGTTACATTATTCATGCTACTGGGTCAAAAAGAAAAAAAGTTACTGTTCACGCGTTACTGTTCACGCGAATTTTTTTTAAAAATATTGTGCAAAACTACGTAGTTTCAGATGTGGAGCACCGTGGGATGATCCCACGGTATAGGAACTCAATAGATACCCTCCCGTTGTAACTTGCAAGTGCCCATGAGTCTTCAATCTAATTAAATTATTCTCTCGGCAATCACATGGAGATCATGGAAGTCTCGCGTTTCCCACTCCTTTTGCCTCTTTCTTTTTATAATTTAATGCTTTGTTTATAAATAAAATTGCTCTTACTCTTTCACTCCGTCTTTCCCAATCCCCAGTTCAGTCTGTTAAACTGTAGTAAGGCAACCAATCTGCTCTTCCGATTTCTATCTATTTCCCAATTATTAATCTGTGCCCATTTCTTCATTTGGTATAAATATAATGAAAAAATTGTGTGGTCTGTTGTCATCTCATTCAATAATAAATGATAATGAAAAAGTGCAAACTTTTAAGCTGTAATCTAAATTCATTTTGTGGGTTTGTATGTAGGCTTTTGGCATACACATACTATCTTCTTTTGATCTGCTATTGAATAGTTGGTTTACCCATTAAAAATGCAGGCTTTTACCCGCTACTAGAAGGGAATCTGGTCATTGTATGTTTAAAGATTGTGTTTTGAGTTTTATTAAGGCTCTGAACTGATAATTATGTCCGCATATGGCCATTTGATGGAAAGAGATTTTTCTGCTCACAGTCTTTCAAGCAGAGAAAATTCAGGTTCGTATTTCAACTTTTTTGTTTTTGTTTTCAGCAGGCCTTTGATCATAACACCCAACCACACTAAATTTTTCCTTATCATGATTAAATCAAAGATATGAGAAACTTTAATGAAGGTATTCTTTGGTTTGGGATGGTATTATGTGTTGTCATTTAGACTTCATGTTATCAAATTGCTTGTTTTTGACCTTAATGGATTTTCCTATCTTATTTAAAAGTTGCGTTCTACCTTGAGGTTCTGTTTTGATAGAGGATTATGAGGGGACCATAAGAACAAAATAAAAAGATACAAACTCATATACGGAGTATATGAGTATAAGATTATGGGCTACTACTCTTTTTGTTATGGAACACCGAATTTCAATAAAGATGATGCTTTAGAATACGCTTCCAAGGTGTTTGATAGGAAGACTAACATACAAGATGTTCTATGTTGATTTGTATCTTTGAATTTAATCAATACATAATTCGTAGTAGTAAACAAACTCTGTTCTAACACATTTTTTGAATATTGTGTTTGAATTTGTTTATTGATAACAACTTGCGCAGAAATGGGAAGTCATTTCACCATGGAATCGGGAATTTACATGTCACCGTTTGCAGCCACTGTCTTCTTTGCTGGGCTTGTGACAGTTGGGGTTTCACTGGTGACACTAGTAATTACCTTAACTGTGATGTTACATTCTTGTCAAAGTAAACGTTCTGGGGTTGTAGAGAATCTTCTTCAAGTTCCCAAATCCACTTATTATTATCATCACTGCTTGCCTTTTGCAATGCATATGGTGCTGAGTAGTTTGAATTCAGATTCTTTCCCAGAAGTTTGTAAATATTCCTCAGTTCCATACATCACAGAAGGCCAACCCATGGAGGACTTCAATGACACAGTCCAGATGATTGAGAATTACTTTGGCACAATCAAACCACTTAAAGATGCCTGTGATGTTGTGTTGATGGATGTCGATGATTTTTTCCCTGAAGATCAATCATTTCAACGGTTCATACAATTCCCTTCTTCTAGTCTAATCTTAACAAGTTTTCTTTGTATTAAGATTTTCGTTTCATCTTGTAAATATATGTTCATTGTTCGTTTGAATTAATATATGTATTCAATGTGAAATAACTTAACATGTCCTCGTGCCCCACAAAATGGCAGCTCATTCGCTCATAATACTAATGGTTAGTTATACATATTTATATTTCACTTTGCATTGTTATATTGGTTCGATGTGAAACAACTTAATATGTGTCACAAGTTGATAACTTAATAGCTAAGAAGTGCTTCCTTATGTCATCTTTTTAGGCTGTTTACGAGCAAAGTTAGACTAATGGTGGTCTATCTTTTGACAGAGTTGAAGAAAATGGTTGCTCTAATTGTAAAGAAGGGTACATAAAATGTCCCAAACAGGTTTTTGTCTCAAAGTTGTATATGAAACTTCAGGCCAGTGGGCTGAATTTGGTTTTGGTATCAAGAATGCCTGAGAAGTTGCGTAATGCCACAGTAGAATATCTTCTTTCATTGGGATGCAGTGGTTGGTCATCACTATTTATGAGGTATTCCCTCTTCTATATATTTTATAGTTGTTGCCTCGGTTGCTCAACAACAGGCACCTATTAGCAATGCATAAATAGTGGATATTGTGTGAATTATTTAATTCTAAAATATTATTAAGATGAGGAGTTTCATACTAAAATGTCAAACTTATAAATAGTATAGGATCTTATAAATTAGTTTCTTATTTCATATTAAATCGGTTTGAGATAGGCACTTGAACAAAAAGTAATAAAAATGTATATTTACTTGATTTATGATCTTGTAAGGAGTGGTCAAGTGTATAATATGTTGATATATTATATATATATAGTTATTTAGCGCGAGAATTGTCCCTTGAAACTGGTAGTTCTTTTGTCATTTGTGTTGATTAGTACTTGTGAGCTCCTGAATAGCATGACTAATGGGCTATCCTATTACAGAAAAGAGCATGAAAAGCAGACAGATACTCGGGAATACTTCTTCATGCAAAGGAAAGCTTTGGAAGAGGCGGGATTTCACATTGTAGCCGCTATTAGTAGCCATTTGGATGTTCTAACTAGCCAATCTTCATTCACGCGTGTTTTTGGACTACCAAGCCCTATTTCAAGATCAAGTTAAAGCTCAGTTTAGAACATCGGAAGCGAAAAAATTACATCCATCCTTATTAAAGCTTCTGCTACTACTTGAGCATTTTACATAGAAAATGATACATAGGTATAGAAAAATGAAAAATACATACACAATTGTGTGAATTGCGACTGACTTCTTAAATTATACCGATCTTGTTTATGTTGGACTGTTGGTGCATATACTATGACTTGGTATACATATATATTCCTCACATTATAGATGAAATGATTAAAAAATGCTTGTCAAAGTTAGATGAAAGGATAGCCCAAGTATGTACCATAGTAAACTTCAGAAAATCAGAACAAGCACTTGTCTGTTTCTGGCATCATATGTCAATTGATAATATTCATTGCAATTATTATTGGTTTTGCTATACTGATTGGTTAATATATTAAGGCAAAAACCAATCTCAGCTTAAGATGGACTAGCCGTCCAAATTGGTTCTCTGCTATTTTTTGTTTGATTACTAATGCTATTTATTTCTACTAATATGTATTTAATGATTTTTAGTGATTAAATAATCATTGAAACTAATTTGTATTAACTGTTGATCCAAGTTCCTAAGCCAATGGTGTTGTTTTTGTTCTAGTTTTTATTATAAATATATAGAAGTCATAACAGATGACTTCGATGACACAACGAAGTACGAAGTGCGTAAATGTTTTAATTGAAGGAGAGTATATATAAGAACATACTACCTATATAAGTTGACAATTGATGAATGATTTCTTAGATTTAGTGTGATTTTTGTCAACGATGTATCATCTTTACTAATTACTTTGTAAAATTTTCAAAAGTAAATTAAAATGGAAAACTGTCAAATAGGTCCCCGAACTTTCATAAAAAGGTCAATTAAGTCCTTCTGTAGGAGGTTTTGTCCGGCCGTCGCGATTTGGGGAAGTTCCTGGTGGAATTTTTTGATGAATTTTTTTGAGAATCTTATTCACCAAGTCTAGTTTACTCATACCAAATTTCAGCTAAAAATTCAATCGGGAACACATTCAAATTAATTCTTGAAGATAACTGCGCATGTTTGCAAACATACTCTACATGAATCATGAAACACTCTATATACAGAGTGGTAGCATACTGTTCACCTATATTTTCTCTTTATTCTTTATCGAAAAATATCCCCTTGTGACAATGCACCTTAAAATTACTTTCTTCATCACCAAACGTGTTCTAAAACTTTTGGTGTCAAAAAAGCCGCGCAATGTGCTATTTCGACCAGATAAGTGGAGCCGAAGACTTGAGCAGAGGGACGATATCTTTGTTCTATTTCTCTCTCCCCATCATCCTCCTCTTCGCCATCTCCTCATTCTCTCTCCTCTAACACCCAACGTACGGACAGTTGGACACTGATTTTTATAGTTCACATTCCCTCCACTGGAATCTACTTCTCCATAGTAATTTATTTGGTCTCTGGAACTCAACTCTGCTTTGCTCAAGCCTTTCGAGACTATCAATTAGATCAAAACTTTTTTCTCAAGGTTTGCTTTCTCATTTCTCAATAGGAGATCTCATGTCACTTTAGTTTCCCTTTTGGGCAATTGAGCTTGAAAATTCTAGCATCAAATCGGCTTAAAATGGCAATCAAGATTGGAAATAGGGGGAAAGATTGGATTTTTAGGTGTTTGGTTCTGAGTTTGAATCTTGGGTGTGGAGGGTCAGATCTAGAATTTTCTTTGATTGGATTTTAGGTACACAAAAAGAAGTAGAAGAGGAAGAGGAGGGGATGTCTTTCATTGGGACTCAACAGAAATGCAAGGCTTGTGAGAAGACAGTGTATCCTGTGGAGCTATTGTCAGCTGATGGAGTTAATTATCATAAGTCTTGCTTCAGATGCACCCATTGCAAAGGCACTCTTAAGGTGACATTCTTATCTTTCAATTATCTTTAAGAGCATGATAAGAATTCAAATTCCTCAACTTATGTTCTATGTTATAAGATTGACAATTGTACTCTTTTAAATGTTGATGGGCTTAATTAAAGCTAAATGTTTGATTTTGAATAACACCCTTTTGCTAGGGTGAGCAGAGTGTTAAGCCATTGTACATAGGGAAAAAATAAAACAGAAACAAACATGTAAAACTTAAGCTATTTACAATAAATGTGACTTCTTAGGATGGAATTCCAAATTCGTGATATCCTATCAAAAAAATAATCCTCATAAACTTAAAACAAAATTAACAATGGGCACAATGATATCAAGATTTGTATGTTCGAATGGGTGACCATTTGTGAGACCTTTTAGGATAAAATTAAAACAAATTAACAATGGGCACAATGATATCAAGATTTGTATGTTCAAATGGGTGACCATTCGTGAGACCTTTTAGGATAAAATCTCAAATTTTAATCGCATTAATTTGTCATATTCATTGCTTATGAAGGTTGGTCTGCTCCACGGAGTCAACATTTTGAACAATTTTAGGATGGAATATCAAATTTTAATAGCAATAGTCTGTAATATTCAATCATTTTGATTTGGATCATGTTACTTGTGGTGGATTGATAGCTGAGTAATTACTCGTCGATGGAAGGTGTTTTGTACTGTAAACCTCATTTTGAGCAGCTCTTCAGGGAATCCGGGAATTTCAATAAGAACTTCCAGTCGCGTAAGTCATATCTTTTTGTTTGCCATTAGATATATCCTATAAAAAGAATCTTAATGATTCCTCTGATGTGCTTAATAATTTTTATATGCTTCCACTGCCTTCAGCAGCTGCCAAATCAGCTGAAAAGTTAACTCCGGAGCTGGTAAATTTTGTTCTGACCTATTTATTGGTATCATAGTTTTTGTTTATTTAATTTTTGTATTAATTTTACCCCTTTGGTACATAGACAAGGTCCCGTAGCAAAGCTGCTGGAATGTTCTCTGGGACTCAGGAAAAATGTGCTACCTGTGGGAAGACGGCTTACCCTCTGGAGAAGGTTACCCTGAACAAATTTAAAAGTCTTACACACATAATATAATTCTCAACCATGCATGCAATGTCTGGTGTGTTACTTGTATTTGGCTGATAAGCACCCTAACTGATTTAGTTGAAATGCTACTTTAAAACGAAAATCCAATCACAAATACACAAGAAAGCCGAATAGGTTCTGGGTGTATAAAGACACTAGCAACCAATTATGTAGTTTATCAGTTAATATACTCCGTATTATGTAATTGCATGCTTGCTTTTTAGGATCGTCGTGATCAAATTACTTAATTGAGCTTAATATATTTTGATATCATATTAAGACTTGAGTTTATATCTTAGAAGGTCAACTGAACGTGAGTAGTCCAAAGTCTTGTCTCTTCATGTATGCTTTTGTATTTATTTGATGGGGATGACTTGGTTGTATTTATTAAATCACATCAAGAGATTGAATAGAACCGATTGTCCTGTCTCACTCAATGTTATGTCTCTCTTTACTAACACAAAATGTCTATTTAATATTGTTGTGAGGTTAACAAAATAGTAGCACTCTTTTAAACATGATTTTATATTTATTTTTATGTGAAATGATAGGAGGATTGCATATATGTACTGAGGTTTTATAGAAACGAGTCTATAAATAGTTTCATAAGCAGATGTTTTTTTCAAAATTATAAATTTTAAATATTACTGATTTAGTATGCTTTCAAGACATCATTCATATAGAGAAAGGAGCAAATTATGCATGTCAATTTATTAATTAAATACTGATTGTGATTGTAGCTTTCTGTTTGATTTCTTGCAATATTTCATCTTAGTACACAGGACTGGATCAATATATGATGTATTGATGTGTCTGCAAAAGTAGATTTGCCATCTTAAGCTCTTAGCTCTTATATGCTGAAAAGAAGTTGGGATGCCCAATATTTTTATTTCTAGATTGTTGTCTCTTTTTAATGACCTGAGGTACTATATTAAAACTCAACTATTTTGAAAAGGTGATAAGCCTAGTGCAAGCTTTATATGTGAGTTCATAATTTTTTATTTGCTTGATGTGAGATGACATAACAAAAAAATTCTAAAAGAATAAAATATTACTCAATGAACTTCGATTCTTAATAAAAGGAAATAGCTTAGTGTCAACTGTCAAGGAATAACTGCATAGTGCATACTAAATAATGGAAAAAACTTGATCACATAATCCTTTTCTTGCATAATTTTTAGTCGGCTATCATACAGCCAGTATTGTGCATTGGTTTTCATGTCATGAATTTTTTCATATACAACTTTCAGGTGACAGTTGAGAACCAATCCTACCACAAGTCGTGTTTTAAGTGTTCTCACGGAGGATGCTCCTTAACACCCTCAAACTATGCAGCTTTGGATGGAATCTTGTATTGCAAGCCTCACTTCTCCCAACTGTTCAAGGAGAAAGGTAGTTACAACCACCTAATCAAGTCGGCTTCGATGAAACGCCCAATAACTCCCATTCCCGATGTTTGAAGATTGAATCGCTAATGATCTTTTTGTTGCGTCTTTCTCTGCTCCTGCTTGCCATTTACTTCAATCAATCAGTGTGCTTTTGCAGTAATTTGGCCAGTAGCATATCAAACTATTGTTCTCCAAATGTTCATGATTGATTTCTGGAGTGTTTCATGTATACATCATGTGGCGGGTTTTGTCGTTGATTATGTGTGAACTTGTGTAGCTCTGTGCCTATGTTTTAATCAGACAATTCCCATTGGTTGGGGGCAGGGATGGATTTAGGGGGGGCGCGGGGGGCGACCGCCCCCCTTGGAATTTCAAAATTTTCTACCATATATGTAATATTTTCATAAAACTTTCATAATTTAATTAGATTCGCCCCCCTTAACTTTTAATTTTCAAAATTAATATATAGTGTTACATAATGTAATACTTAATTGAAGATTTAAAAGAAGGAACATCTAAAATAATCACATAACTTAAACAAATAAACAATAGAATAACTCGTTGTTTAAGATTTAGGATACTTATTATATAAGAATTCCTAGTTTTGTAATGTTTAATTATCTTTATTAGATAACAAGTACTTGATTTTGTAAAATATATATCAAACAATATTAAATATGAAACACATTAATTACACAGTTTTTAGATCACGTGAAATGAATCCAAAATATAAATGTTTATTGACATTAAATTACATAATTCATTTACTTCTTGCTTTCTAAAAATAATTTATTGCATAGATAATAAACTTTAAATTATTATAGCATTAATACAAATATTAAAATATAATATGCACCATATATGTGTGTGTATGTGGTGCATATTATTCTAAAAATAATAATATCATACATACTACTATTGTAATATTAAGAAAACTTCTCATGAGTCATGACTCACGAACACCATCCTTGGTGGCCGGACAAAAATTACAATTCAATAATAACCGATTCATGAGGTTAAACAATGTAGAAGTTATTAAAAATGTATTGGTTGATGTCTTTGTCATCGTCTAATTTAAACTTAGAATGTACTACTTAATAGATTTAAATGTCGTTGGGGATGTGTATGTATTAATGTCATTTTTAAATAAAATTAGCCGCATAGCCCTACAGTAGCGGAAAAAATTCGCCCCGCTACACTAGGGAAAAAAAATTCGCCCCACTACACTAACGAAATTTTTTTCACCCCCTACACTACCGAAAAATTTCGCCCCCCTTGAATAGAAATCCTGGATCCGTCCCTGGTTGGGGGCCTTGGGGCTATACATTGGTGCAATGAGAATGATAGCCTTGAGTTTGAACGTTGATAACTTGATATTATCGTTTCCTTGGAAGTTAGAAAATTACATGATAATTTTTGGTTATTTGCAATTCTACACGATAGCCTTGAATTTGAACGTTGTATATAGTCATGGACCCGGGCCGGGCCCGGCCGGGCTTTTTTTTTGGGAAGGAAGGCCCGGGACCGGCCCGGGTAGCCACCGGGTCCGGGCTGGGCTGGGCTAGGCCTCCGGTTCGGTCATAATTTTTTTTTTTTTTTGCTTTCCTAACCCCCCCACTCACCCCCCCCATCCCCCAAACCCCCCAAACCCCTCCTAACCATCAAGCCCAACCCAGCTAACCCCAAAAAATGAAAAAAAAAAAAAAAAATCAATTCGGCCCGGGCCCGGGCCCGACCCGGCCGGGCCGGTTCGCCAAATACAAGGCCCAAGTCCGGACCCGCCCCCCCCACCGGGCCTAGGCCCGACCCGGACCCGGACCCGAGAACCGGGCCGGTTCTGGGCCCGCACAGTGGCGGGCAGGGCCGGTCCCGGGCTGGGCGGCCCGAACCGGATCCATGCCTAGTTGTATAGTTCTTCCTATCATAAATTTAGCATTCTGTTTTACATCTTCAGCTTGATTTTTGAGCCAAGAACTAGTAAAGTGAGAACCATTACAAGTAAATTGGGTTTTTTTTTGAAAGATTTCAAGTATCAAGTAAATTGTTATAACTTGGTTCAATTCAACTTCTATTCATGAGTTATTAATTTAGAGAAAATTGATCTAAAGAGGACTAAAACATAAACACATTCCCTAAATAAGATTACAAGTTTCATTTTCTTTTAATAGAACTAAATATTACAATGATACGAGTAATTAATCTAATTGATTGCCCCATAATTCCCAAACATATCCAAGGCAGTCCAGTAGTGGTGGCAGTAGGGGTGGACCGGCCTCGGGCCCGGATTTGGGTGGGACTACGTTTGGGAATTGAAGGCCCGGAACCGGCCCGTGTTGGTTCCGGGCCCGGGCCAGAACGGGTTGGGTCTAGTTTTTTTTTTTAAATTGGTTTTTCTTATTTATTCCTACCCCCACCCCCCAAACCACCCAGCCCAACTCGCGTAGCACCCAATTCATCCGAAAGAAAAAAATATTTGGGCCCTAGCCGGCCTAGTCCATGCCTTGGTGGCAGCAGTTCGGGTGGTGAGTGATGGTGGACTTTAGGTGACTGGCGATAGTAGTGCTCCAATTTCTATACGAGTATTTTTGTCTAATCACAAATAATAAGTTATATTTATGTAATGTAAAACATTAATTCTTATTTTTGAAAATTGAACATGTTTTGGACCTATTTAGGGAGTTCTTCCTTTGATTTTGTACTCCATACTAATTTGGTTCTTACTAACGCCCAATAGTTTGGTCCTTTGTTCATTATAAAACTTTTAGAGAACCATTATTCAATTGCTTACATACATATATAAAAATATACATACGTATAATTGGTGGGGTAAAAGTGGGATAATTTTTTTTAAAATACCTCTCTCATATTTATCATCTATGATCTTTATACTAATTTCATGTTCAACTTACTTAATTTTTTGTGGACAAGTACAAAAAAATGGCGATAGGGGCAGAGGAAGATGATCTGGACCTTGATGAATTTGATGCAGAGGATGCTCCGATAGAGGAGACCAACCCGAGATTTCCGATGGTGGGGGTGCTACTAACAGACAGGAAGGTAAAATTTCCAGCGTTCAAAAAACTCATGTCTTCGCTTTGGAGGCCGGGGAAAGGAATCTCGATCAAAGAAGTCGGCAAAAAAGGTATTTGTTCACTTTTTATCATTGTGTTGATATGTATCGTGTGATTGATGGTGGCCCTTGGCAATTTGAGCGTAATCTGTTGATTTTGAAAGAAGTTAAGCCTGATAATATTCCGCGTAAGATTGTTTTAAATGAGGATGATTTTTGGGTTCAAGTTCATAATGTTCCATATAACCTAGTAAATCTAAGAACTGCCAGACGAGTTGGAAGTTTTATTGGAAGATTTATAAGATATGATGATAACCAAAAGAGTGAGAAGTGTGAGTCTTATATGAGAATCAGGGTGTGTATGAATGTGGATAAATCTCTGAGAAAAGGTACCAATCTGAAGAAAGAAGGAAATAGTTATTGGGTAGAATTCAAGTATGAAAAGCTACCTAACTTCTGCTTTATTTGTGGATTGATTGGGCATTCAGATAAATTTTTCCCTTTGACCTATGAAGACCAGTCCTATAGGAGGTAACAAATGGCTACTAGAGGGTTCATCGAGCTCTGGCAGCCGTAGGTATGCGGGGGATAATAAGTCAGATGATAGGATGGGTGGTGGGGGGGAAGAGTCTGTTGTTGAGTTTTCTCCCGTAGATCCGAAAGCCCAACACACGCTTTGAATATTAAGGACGTTTGGTTCTGGTTTAGAAAGTGCATCAAATATAAAAAATAGTGAATTGGGAAGTACTCGGGAGCTAACTTGTATTAAGTAATTCGGTGATTACAATATAACTGCCCGAACGGTATGTCGGTACGAGTTTGAGTACAATACAAGAGAGATGATTCTATTGCTAAGCTCTGAGTATGAAAATGCTAACCCTTTACAATGTATTAAGCCCATGTATTATACTAGAGAGGGGATGGGTGAGATGGACACGTGGCTGAACCCGGTAGGCTGTTACCCCTGTCACGAAATGCACCCATGCCTCTACTTGCTGTAGCCATAATTCAGCATTAAATGCGCCTCCCACTTGCTGGCACCCGTTCGGGTAGAACGTTCGGTGTGTGGGCCCCTTTGAGGGTGCTTGATGTCAGTACTCCGTTGATTGTCTCAAGTGGACAAATCCACCCGAATGTCGTTCAGGTATCCCCGTTCGGGACGTCTTGAACCTTCCTACTTCCGTTGGGCCTCCTGTTTTTCCTGGGCCTTCTTTATGCTTTGGGCCGGGTTGTATTGGGCTTGGGCCCAATACCCCAACACGAGTCCCCCACTTCCTATGTCTCGAACAGTAGTGAGTGCATAAGGAAGTAGAAAAATTTTGCCGGAACGCTGCTCGGGTATGTAGTGGATGGGATCTCGCCAGTTCCCGAGGCCTAATCTTGACGGTTTTCTGCGGCTGCCGTTTCAATTTCTCGATAATCGTCATGATTAATTGTTGGTGTTTCTCTATGTGACACGTGTCCCTGTAATCATTACTAGTGACGAGTTTCCTTTTGATTGGCCAACGATTCGGTGTGACAAGTTATAAATAGGCTTCTCCAGCTTTGATTCTGGGTTTCAAAACTTGGCATCCTTGGCCTATTGCTCTGCCTTCTCTCTAAAGCTTTCCAAAGCTTTTCTTGTTCAGGTACCCTTCGTTCTTTCTTTTTCCCTTTCCCTTTTCTGTTCGCTTTATTTGCTTTATTTTTTTCTGTAGTGACAATTTACTTTGTTTTATGTTTTGTTTCGTTTGTGCTTTTCCTTTATGTAAGACGATGAATTTGGATGTGGGTGATGGAAGGATTGAGATAACTGTCTTTGGCTCACTTGTGCCCATTAATGGATCAATGAATTATATTGCATCTTTTGAGGTGATTAATTCTGAATCTGGTTCGCGGGACGACGGTTGTTAGGAATCTTTTTATCGGATTACCTACTATCTGAATGATGTGTTATCAATTTTAAGCCTATTTCATTCAAAAAAAAAAAATACTCCCTCCGTCCCTCTATTAAATTCCTACTTTGACCTACACACATATTTAGGAATTAAATTTGACTTTACTGTTTAGACACTGTTTGGCACTGTTTAGACACTGTTTAGCACTGTTTAGACACTGTTTGACACTGTTTTGCACTGTTTGACACTGTTTTGATGTAGGATAACTTTCCATTTAGGGAAATGAGAAGATTATTTTGGGACGGCCAAAAAAGGAAAGTAGGAAGTTAATAGCGGGACGGAGGAAGTATTATCTATGTTCCATTGAAATTTTAGATTTTTTCTTTACAATATGTTTGAGTAAATTATTTATTTTGTCCGGCCCAATCGTCCGAAGGGCCAAAAAATACGGAAACAGACGAGCAGCAACATGGACGAACTCTGACCTCACGAACTGCTACTGCCGACGCGGCGACGCTTGTCGGTTGCCGCTTGCCGCCTGCCGGATTTCTTCAATTTCTTATTCCTCAATCCTCAGGCCTCACCCTTCTTGTGCTGCTTGGTGCAGAGTCGCCTACTAGCCTTCAGCCCCTCACGGCTTCACTGCCTGTCTGCCTCAGGCCTTACCAATCAGAGAAAGCCTTCATGCTCTTGACTCTTCAGGTGAGTCCGGCCCCCCGTAGTTCCTTATTTCTTAATTTAGAATTTTAGTTGATTATTTTAAAAAAAAAATACTTTAGTTGATTAGTTTATACTTTTATTAATTCATTTAAAGTTCCAGTATTCAATTAATGATTGATGATTTTGATTCTTGGTTGTTGATTTGTTTATAATAATTTCGTTTTTATTAATTAATTGATTTCTTGGTTGTTGAGTATTCATAAACTTTTAGTTCATATTCTTAATTATTGATAGTTAATTAGTTATCTATTGATCGGGTCGCTCGCCGCTACTGAACTAATCCTGCCGGGTTCAGATTGACTCTTCATTGCTCAGTAATCTAGGTATTATAGTGCTGCTGTATTTTGTGATAGTTTTTCTCAGTTTTGATGTTTTTACGTATGGCATTGTATTTTGGAACTTAATAATTAAGATTTAATTTGATTTGGAAAAATATGCCCTCACACAACGTATAAGAATGAAGGGCACTTTCTTTGATCGATCCATGTTGCTAGACTTCAGTCAAACTCATTGCTTAATGGACACACAAATTTCTTCCTTGAGATTTGAAAATAAGTAAAGATTCTTGGAAGAATTGTAGAGAAAGGGTTCTGATGTGGTGAGAAATATCTGTGGAGTCTTACCAAACTTCAAATGTATTTATAGATCATTATTTTGAGCATACGAAAGGGTTTGATATACAATGAGTCTCAAAAAAGAATTAGCATTAAATTTTTACAATGATTATCAACAACCCATTCAACCGGCACCTTGGATACCCTGAATTTTCCATGAGAATTAGAAGGGTTGGAGTTTCAAGAGACATTTTCCTTACTTTCATCCACAATGTTCTATCAATGAGTGAGGAATCTCCTTTGGCAATCTCTTACGGAGTACTACTCCTTCTGTCCCTTAAAACAAGTTTCATTTTGGTTTACGAAGTTTGACTGGTGATAAAGTTAATGGATCCCTTTGAATACTCAGATGATTTTTAAGCTTATAAAATTTACATAATCAGTAAGTGTATTAAAAGTATTATAACCGCGCAAAGAAATTTCAAATTTGATAAAAGTTGAATATATAATGTAAAAGATTCAGAGCTATTTAAGTTGGCCACAAGTAGTGAACATTTACTTCTTTTAGGGAAAGAGGTGGACAAATAGGTGGACAAATACGAAAAGAGTGATATATTAGAGTTTATTACATGAATATTACTACTAGAAAATAGGTGGACAAAAAAATGACTAGTCGGTCTAAAACGTATGTGTGAAAGAAATAAAGAATACCCAACAAATCAAATGTCATTCTTGCCCCGGACTGTTACAAAACAAAAGAAATTGAAGGCTAAAATTCTGGATGAGAGGCGGGTGCGTCGATGAGGAAATCATGGAGATTACTAATCAAGTAAAATAGTAGAGTCTGGGAAACTTCAGAAGCGGAATCAAACGCAACTACATGGGACGGAGAATACGAAGAGGTAAATATTTATGTGAAGTTATTTTATTCAGTGAATCATCTATGTTCGAATTTCGCTATGTTCAGATGTTTTTTGTGGAGGGTTCCATGTGATTTGGTCCGATGTATGTTGAGAGGACAATTAAAATTAGTGGAACTCCAAGTGCGGGAAAATAGTAACGTAGCAAACATAATGAGTATTTTTGTGATTGTGTATGCGTGATATAGTAACTTGGCGAATGGGAAATTATTTTTAGTGTGAATGATAACATAGGATCGTAGCAAGTGAAATGAAGTAATTTATCTAGTGGACTGGTAACTGATGTAGCATCAGAGTAACCAGTATTTGAAGGATAGGGAAATATTAGCTTAGCTATAGGGTATATGTTGTACAATAACCAAGGTATGATAATTAGCAAATATGTTATTAGAAGTAATGTGATGTGGTAATTGTCATCATGTAACTTATGTGTTTGGAACCTAACTGAAGGAGATGAACAGAGAGTGAAATGTAAAGTGTAGTTCGACAGGAACTTATTTGTGAATGTGCGATAGTGACATCCACATCCAATCGTGTTGAAGTACGTGTTGTAGATTGTTGTATTATTCAATATCTAATATGAATTTTGACCTAAATATCTTGTGATAACTTGGTATATTTTGATGGTGTTATCGCTTTATGTTAATTAATAGGTGTTTGTGTGTGTTATTCGGGGCTCACCATATATAATGGTTGAATATTCAATATATTGTTGAGGTACTTGTGCTATATTAATGATGAAATCTGAAAAATAACATCAGTTTGACCCATACTTCATTACTTCTTGTAAAGCTAAAGGGTCAAATAGGCTCTCGAACTAACTTAAAAAGTGCAAATCACCTTTTATATAGGAGACTCTGTCCGGCCGTCGCCATTTGGGGTTGATTCCCGGTGGAATTTTTTGATGAAAATTTTTGAGCATCTTCTTCATTAAGTTTAGTTTACTAATACTAAATTTTAGCAAAAAATTCAATCGGGAAGGCAGTCAAATGAATTTTTGAAGATAACTGCGCAGTTAAACAGCGCAATACATTTCAGAAAATCATTTGATTGTCTTCCCGATTGAATTTTTATCTGAAATTTGATATGGGTAAACTAGACTTAATGAAGAAGATGCTCAAAAAATTTCATCATAAAATTCCACCGGGAACCACCCCAAATGGTGACGGCCGGACATAGCCTCCTATATAGGGGTGATTTGCACTTTTTATGTTAGTTCGAGGGCCTATTTAACCCTTTAGCCCTTCTTGTAATTACTCGTTTGTATGGATGTTATTATTCATTAGTGTCAAATAATAGGTATTTGTGTGGCAGCTGTGCAGCAGTAATGTTAATTTATGGATATAGCGTGTATTCCCCATCATCAAGCAGCCGCCGTAGACTCGGAGCTGCAATGCAGTATGTGGCGACAGCCTCCTCAATTTCAAGCCTCAAATTAGTCCCCTGGCGAAAGGACCAAAAGCTAGACGAAGCAATCGAGAAGGACAAGAAATGGAGGCTGTGCGCAAGGGTGGTGAGAGAGGTGATGAACGAACCCGGTCAGGCAATTCCTCTCCGATACTTACAGAAACGGCGGGAGAGGCTCTCTCTCCGTGTTAACGTCACAACTTTCCTTTCACAAAACCCGGGGTTGTTCGACATATATAAGGATCGGATCCGACCTAAGTCTGAACCCGTCCCATTCCTACGGGCAAGTACGGGTCTGAGGCGATTCCTGGAAGAAGAGAAGAGGATTTACATCCAAAACGAGAGCTTTTTAGTTTGTAAGCTATGTAAGTTGCTGATGATGGCTAGGAATAGAGTGATTAGCGCAGGTAAATTGTTGGAGGCCAAGAGGGAATTCGGGTTCCCAAATGATTTTTTAGTGAATCTGGTTCCCAGATACCCAGAATATTTCAGGTTGTTAGCGGGTAGTGAGGGGAAAGCGTTCTTGGAATTGGTGACTTGGAATGAGGATTTTGCAAAATCAGTGATCGAACAGAGAGCAGAGGAAGAGTCAAGGTTAACTGGGATAAGGGTGATGCCGGCATTTGACTGGATCCTTCCACCGGGCTTCTTCTTAAAAAAGGAAATGAGGGAATGGGTGAGGGATTGGATGGAACTGCCTTATGTATCCCCATACGCGGATGTCTCAAACTTGGAACAATGTTCGAGAGAGATGGAGAAGAGAACAGTGGGAATCTTCCACGAACTGCTTTCCCTATCTATTCACAAGAGGGTTTCGATTCCAGTTCTAGGGAAGTTTGGGGAGGAGTACAGGTTTTCAAACGCATTCCCCAACCTGTTCGGGAGGCATCCGGGGCTGTTTTACGTGTCATTGAAGGGAGGGATCAAGACGGCTATGCTCAGGGAAGCTTACAAGGGTGATCAGCTGGTTGACCGGGACCCACTGCTTGAGATTAAGGACAAGTTTATTGAGCTGCTGCTTGCTTGATGACTCAAGTGTGTCCTTGTTTTGTTTTTTAAGGGATAGAGGTTGTGTTGTGCATTCACTGCATAACAGGGATCGATACTGAGCTGTATTGCATTCACTTAAATTAGTCACTTTTATGTGACTATTTTCACCACCTTTCTCACCTATAGAATCTGTGAGTAAATCTAGTGTTTGTCACCACTTTTATCACTTTAAATAGTTAGTGACAAATGGTTGAAAAAAGTCAAAAACTGAACCATATTACCGCATACGTCGTATAACGTAACGTACCGCTTAGATGAGTTTTGCTAGGTGTACACATGTCTGTCCTTCACAGAAATTTTGTATGCCACAGACAACTCAAAATCAGCTGTCTGTGACAGACAAAATTTCTGTGAAGGACAGACACATTTTGTGTACACATTTTGTGTACCTCAAGCATTTTTCCTGCTCAGATAGATCGTTTCTTTTTTCTTTTTGCTTCTTCTAATATTTTTATAACTTCCTCCTTTTATTTTCTTCTTTCCAAAACTACTTGGACTTGCTCACGTAGCCCACACAGGCAAATTCAAAACACAATTACACTTAAGTTGTGATAAATTTGTTAAATATGCTCAGTAGTCATTTATCATTTTGTTCTTTCAATTCTAGCATGAGTCATAATTAATGCAAATTCCATGCACTCAGCCAGAGCACTGGGTTGCACTGGGCCAGTACAAAGAATATTTGTTTTAAAAAATTTAGATCGGAATTTTTTACACTAAAAATTAAGGTATTTTTAAAATTTGGGTATGCTTTACGGGAATAATTATCACTATAAAATGTTTCTTCTACACTGTACTTTTTGTATATATATTAAACTTTAGGAGATTTCACCTCTTGTTTTAATGTTTCAGAAATATCGAGTTACTTGTGAAGTGAGGAATTACTTTTGCAATGTCAGGAACAATGGTATCTATGAAGACGGATTTGGTGCTCCTCCTCCACTTCCAAATATGTGCACTTACTCCTACCATATGCGTGTACATGCATTCTCGCGACACAGCATCAGCAAATCGGAAATTATCAAATCTACTCTTACAAGTTCTTTCAAAAGTTAGTAGAAGCTCAATTCGACTCCGAGCAGCCATTGAAGAAGAAGAAATAGATAGCGAATGAATTGCTTGGTCATTATGTCAATTTTTTCGTCTGAATTATCACAATCTTTGTATCACTTTGAGCCCGTTTGGAGACCCCTTTTTTCGGCTTATCAGGCTTGTCAGCCAGCTTTTTCACCAAACACGTAATTTTTACTTTCGCGTGCTGAATTGTGTAATAAGCAGAAAAAGTAAGGTTGGAGTTACTTTTCTGGCTGTATTGGCTGAAGTTACTGTAGATGACCATTTTAGCTATTTTTACATGTAATTTTTTCTTTATTTTATTAATAAAATATTTTTTTAAAATATTTTTTTCTAGAATCAGCAGAATCAGTCAAAACAGCCACTTCAGCCAGAACTTCATAAATTTCAGCAGAAACAGCCAAAACAGCCGATTTTCGTGCTACCAAACGGGCTCTTTATATTATGAATCTGTCGCTTTTGTGCAGTATTTGTGTCTTTGAGTTACTCTATCTCAAATGTTAATAATTATTTAATTTTAACAGTACTCCACTACGTCATAGATTTGAATTCGAACATCTGTATTAGGGGTGTTTGGATCCAATTCTTAAAACTGCTTCTGCTCCTTCAGGGAGCAGAAACAGAAGTTGAAGTGTTTGGGTGAAAGTGTAAAAGTGATTCTGGTGCTCTAATTTACTCCTAGAATCAGTTTTTTTTAGAAGTTAAGGGAGATCAGCTTCTGAAAACCGATTCTGATTCTGATTCTGCTTTAAAAAAGAAGCAGAAGCAAAATCAGTTCCAAACACCCCCTTAATTGAAGTTATATGTTCTGAGTACATATTATCTAATTTTTTAATTTAATTTTTTTTTTATTGTATTGACCAATATATAGTTACTTGAATTTTGTAGTTTTTTTGCTAGACTTTCTAGTCTCTTTTATGGTATATGTTCAATGTCAACATCCTTGACTGAGATGGATTTTGAACCTATGACCTCCTTCTTGGAACCACAATGTGCTTGGCTTGAATATAAATATAATAGTTATAAATTACTATAAAATAAAATGACACCCAAATTAAACTATTCACCCTTATACGTAGTGACAAAGCATGCGACCATGGCACTACATCATTGGTACGTCTTCACAAATTTCTCACCTATTTTCTCACTTGTTGGGGAGTGAGTGAAATATTCACTCTCCAAGAATTTCATTCCATCTTCTTGAACAAAAGTCAATAGAGGCCAAGAGGGAATTCGGGTTCCCATATACCCGGAATATTTCAAGTTGTTGTTGAACAAAAGTCAATAGAGGCCAAGAGGAAATTTGGGTTCCCATACACCCGGAATATCTCAGGTTGTTAGCAAACAGTGAGGGGAAAGCGTTCTTAGAATTGGTGACTTGGAACCATGGCGGAGCCGGGATATACTATGAGTGGTGTCAAAGTAATATAACAATAAAAATTACCTTAGGTAAGAGTCCTTTTGGTGATCGTTTTTCGGCTTATCAGTCAATTTTTTCACAACTTTTGATTTTGCACGTTAAATTGTGCAATAATCAAAATAAGTAAAATTGAAGTTACTTTTATGATTGAAGTTACTGTAGAGGACAACTTTAACTATTTTTATATTTTTTTATTAATAAAATATATTTTAAATACTCCGTATATATTTTTTATTTTATTCAAGCAGCTAATCTAGCCACTTGATTCAGAATTTCATAAATTTGAGTAGAACTAGCTGACTCAGCCAATTATAGTGTTATCCAACGGGCTTTAAGATTACAAATGATGTAAATTAAAAAAAATAAGAGTATCATATTATTGTTACTTTCTAATTAAATATTATCAACATCATTCTTTTAATCATACATGAAAAACTTGTGAGATAGGGGGAATGCGTTTTATATATTGACCCTGTTTATGAAAAAATTAGTAGTGTCATTTTAACATTTTCGTTCTACATATATATATATATATATACAATAAATATATATTTTGAGACTTTGAGTGGTGTCATTTGACACCATAAGTCAACACTTGGCTCCGCCCCTGACTTGGAATGAGGAGTTTGCAAAAGGGAGAATTTGACTTTGCACCTCATGTTTTAGGCCATATTAGACTTTGCACCCCATATTCAAAATCATTAATATTTGCACCTCATTTGCTCAAAAATTGTGAAAGAGGGAGTGCAAAGTCAAATGAATTATATAGTGAAATATGGTGCAAATATTAATGATTTTGAAAATGGAATGTAAAGTCCAATATTAACCAAAACATGGGGTGCAAAATCAAATTCTCCCTTCCAAAATCAGTGGGTGATGCTGTATTGCTAGCAATAACGCATCAACTCCTTTCTCTTCCTTGTTTGGTAGCCCAATTACTGACACTAGTTCTCCCACTTAGAAGAAGAAGAAATCAAAGAAGGGCCTTTGTTCGTTGTGGATTTCGTTCTTATGTAACAGCTCAGAAGATATCCTTCTTCTGCCCCATCTCCTGATTTACGTGTTAGGATACTCTGGCTCTGAGAATAAAACAAAACTTGATGCTAAAAAAGGTATTTGTGTGATTGTGTCCTTCATTTGTGGTGGTTCAACATAATTATTGTCTAATCTTGAGGTTGTTGAACTTGTGGATAATTGTTGACAGTGGCGGAACCAGAACGAAAATGAAGGGGTGGCTAAAAGTAAGATAAAATGCAAAAATATAAATTGTTATTAAAGTTTACAGAATATAAAATTTATTAGAATAGTACATTACATTATAATTAAATGTTAGAAGAAAGCCGAAATGATGTTTTTCTCTACTACTTTCTTCGTTATCTCGTCTAGAAGGCCCAACGCCTCATGTTACATATTATAAGATAGACATGATCACATGAGTAACCTAACAAGTTAAAAAGGTTTTCAATTTCAAATTCTTAAATACTCCATAGTTATAATCAATTAAAATTTGAAACAACTAAAGCAATGAAACTAATTAATCAAAAAATTGCACAATCAATTTAAACTTTATACGGTTATACTTTTTTTTTTTTAATTTTAGCCTTTAGTCCAGTGACAGTCATTACTTTATACGGTTATACCAATTCAAGCAATTAAACAAGAAAAAATTACATATTTATGACTAAAATAACGACTGTTTACAAAAATGTAATTAGTAACTATAGTAGTAATGAAATTATAGTAATTTGTGTTCAACTTTAAACCTGAGTTATTATGACACTACATTGTAGTAACTGAATGACCATATTTATGTAAATTATACTCCGTAAGTTTTACTCTAGTAATATTTGTGTAAAAAACTCATTAATAATCAATTACACTTTAGATCAATTAAACCAATTAATCAAATGTAAACCTTAAACCATTTATTCAATCCAATTTTAAAGTAAATAATTAATTAAACTAAAAAAGCAAATAAAGTAATTAATACGGATTACAATTTTAAAATTAATTGCCATAGTTACGGACTTATCCAAACGGCCAAACTATGCAACTGAGTTGGAGTTCGTGACGCAGGGGCAGACAAGAAGGGACTGGCGAGGGTGAGCCTGCGACGGCGATTCCAGAGTCTAACGGCTTGTCGGCGACTGGCGTGGCAAAGGAAGGCTTCTGGACTGGAACGACGAAATTACGGAAAGACGGTCAAAGCGTATGTCATAGTTATGGTCACAACGACGTCGTTTTGTTTTCCCTGTGCACTAATCCAAACGACGTCGTTTGGCTCATTTAATTATTAAGAAAAAAACAGGCTGTCTGCCTGTCCGCTCCTTCCCCAAACTCTGGTTCGTAGCATCTCCCACGGGCGTCAGTCTCAACGAAGAAGATGAAGAGGGGCGGCAATCAGTATACCTATTACTAGTACTAAAAAAATTCCGGCGAAGGGGTGGCGCCGGCACCGGCTCGCCCACCCCTGGTTCCGCCCCTGATTGTTGAAGGCACCTGAAAAATTAAACAACATTAATATCACTCAGAATTGGTGTAATTACTAGGTAATTTTGTTTAATGTTATTGGTTATTGTCAAAATATGAATATCTTTGAATGATTGCTATCATTTTAGATATAATGTACATGTGATTAATGTGTGAATAATTATAATATCAAACACGATTGAGTGTTTAAATGAGTAATAGTGTAAAGTAGAAAATAGTCTTATATAGTGACATATTTTTGTGTGACACTTCTCTAGTGTCACTAGTAGATATTTGTGTGACATATCATTTCTACTTTATAATAGTGTCAATCATATGTGACATAAAAACATGACTAGACACCACAAATGAAAGTGACAAATTTTAAGTCTTAATAAAATATATCCTCCTTATAATTTTCATTTTTCTCCATAAAAACTTCTTTCCCTTTAACAAATTGTTAGTAACCCCAAGCCATGACTATCTTTTCTTGACAGTCTACTCACTAATTCTGGTGGTCATATTACTTTCCCAATAAATACATTCTCGCCTTTATTGAACATTCTTAGTTACAAAATTAAAGATTTTTCCTTTGTACTTCTGTATTTATTTTGATTTTAGCCAACATTCCACTTTTTGTTGTTACTTGGAGAGCTCAACTGTTTGCGGTTAATATACTCCATTTGGAAAACGGCACACCCTAGATTCAACATTGCTGCAGTGGTATTATTGTCAATCTCATACAATTGGAATGATCTCCAACTGAAAGTTTTCTGGTAGAGCTCCAACAAATGTCACCTTGCATACAGATCTTTTACAAAAAAACATAGATGTTTTGTCACGGAATTTGTTAGGGGCGGTAGTGTAAAATATCCCGAATAAATGATTTTGTTATAGATTTTGCTAGGCATTTTATCTATGACGGCGTGTTTATCGCTTGATAAAAACGTTGCTAGAGATATATCCAATGGGAGGGTGTATTGGAGTTGATGTGGCATAGGAGAGATAGAGATAGAATAAATATTTGGATGGAGTAGTGTGTAGGAGAAAATGAATAAGAGGAGAGAGATAGAGGTAAAAATGGACCAAGGTCTATGACAAGGTCCATATATGGACCTTACATGGGATTCGAGAAGGAAAAATTGTTGAAAAATGGGTTAAAAGTGATTTAAAAAATGAAAATAAATTAGGAAATATGTGGGTCTTACACATAAAAATTGTGAGATAAAAAATGAGATCCATGCGTAAAGGTGTGTAAGAGAGTAAGAGACCACACCCTTGAATTGGAGTTGCTCTAACAGTCCAAAGTTATTTCATCTTCTCCATCATGGGCTATAGATAAGTTTCTATTCCTTTTTGGATCCTTTGGATGGGACCACTTAAAGATAAAAATATGAAATGACTTTTTATATATTGTTAAATGTTACACACCAGAAAAGTTTGAATGAACAAAATGTTAAATTAACACATGAGTTACTCCTCCTATCAGGTTGACCTTTGAGTATAACATGATATCATAGCCAAATCGATTCATGGTGTGGGACCCCTTATGAAAAATGATGACACAATTATAAAAA